AATAATAATTTAGGGTAAAAGGTAAGGATGTGGCCATGTTGACTGACGCACACTTGTCAAGGGGTGAAAGGTGAGGGGTTGAGATCGCGCCATGTGTCCAGTTGGCAATTATTTTGGCTTTTTTAGTGCAAAAATCTTTGAAAAAATGCAATAAATAGTAGAAAAATCCTAAAAATGCCCCAAAAAATACTCCGGCCTCCTTGTGACGTTATAAAACAAGGGGAACCCATAAATCATCCATTTCACAATTAAAAATTCAAAAATGATTTACATAACTCACTTTCCTCTTAACCCTAAGTATATATGTTTGTTAACTTTAACTTCAATAACCTACTTCAACAAGCATCTCCTGTTAATGTTTGGAATTGTTTTTTAAAATGCGTAACCACTAATCGGGGAATTCAGTAAGGGAGATGGAGTCTCAATGAGTTCGTAGCAATTTTCGGATCATTTTTCTGATTTTTGTGTATTTAGTTATGAATTTTCTAAGAAAAAGTCATAAAATAATAATTTAGGGTAAAAGGTAAGGATGTGGCCATGTTGACTGACGCACACTTGTCAAGGGGTGAAAGGTGAGGGGCTGAGATCGCGCCATGTGTCCAGTTGGCAATTATTTTGGCTTTTTTAGTGCAAAAATCTTTGAAAAAAATGCAATAAATAGTAGAAAAATCCTAAAAATGCCCCGAAAAATACTCCGGCCTCCTTTTGACGTTATAAAACAAGGGGAACCCATAAATCATCCATTTCGCAATTAAAAATTCAAAAATAATTTACATAACTCACTTTCCTCTTAACCCTAAGTATATATGTTTGTTAACTTTAACTTCAATAACCTACTTCAACAAGCATCTCCCGTCAATGTTCGGAATTGTTTTTTAAAATGCGTAACCACTAATCGGGGAATTCAGCAAGGGAGATGGAGTCTCAATGAGTTCGTAGCAATTTTCGGATCATTTTTCTGATTTTTGTGTATTTAGTTATGAATTTTCTAAGAAAAAGTCATAAAATAATAATTTAGGGTAAAAGGTAAGGATGTGGCCATGTTGACTGACGCACACTTGTCAAGGGGTGAAAGGTGAGGGGCTGAGATCGCGCCATGTGTCCATTTGGCAATTATTTTGGCTTTTTTAGTGCAAAAATCTTTGAAAAAATGCAATAAATAGTAGAAAAATCCTAAAAATGCCCCGACAAATACTCCGGCCTCCTTATGACGTTATAAAACTATGGAACCCATAAATCATCCATTTTGCAATTAAAAATTCAAAAATTGTTTACATAACTCACTTTCCTCTTAACCCTAAGTATATATGTTTGTCACTTTAACAAGTATATTTCCTTAATATTCGTTATATAATTTGTACTAATACAAGAATTAGTTTCCTTTCATATATAAGGATGTAAAATTATCTGTTTTGGTTATAATAATGTACATATATAATAAATGCACCACTACTTCGAAGCCATCATTGGAACTGCGCATGCGCCTAGAGCTTTGAAGACGTCAGAGATAGTCAATAAGTTGTCCATATGCACCTGCACCTAGAGTTTTCAACACGTCGGCGGTATTCAATAAGTTGTCCTTATGACGCCGCATTGGGAATCAGTAATATATTTTCTATCATGTCCAATCGCATAAACATATAATATAAAGAAATAAAGCAATAGTAGGAGATGAACCAGTACAAAAAACAATATATAACTGGTACAAAATAATGCCATAACCTTGTCACAAAACCACTCACACATGCTTTTCCATAAACCTTACCCTAACATATAATACATAAAGGCAACATTGCATATGATGCAACCATGTCCAAATCTGATACGTGATCACAAAAAAATGGACATGGCAGCAACATATGACTAAAGTAGATGGGCACTTTGCATCGTGTTATCGTAATTAAAGACATCAAAATATTAAGGTTGAAATCTTCTATAGTAGTAAGCATCAAAATAGGTTTGAAGCAGAGTTTAACGAAAATTCCAGTTCCTCTGATTTGCCTCTACTCAAACACGATAACCAAAATGGTTACTTCCCTTGCTGAGTATATTTGTTAACGTCGGAAACGGTAATAGATGACCAATCAAACCCGGGTACGACGAGTTTTGCATAGGACCGGAAGTAGTCGAATCCAGCTTGCATCACACGCTTCTTTGACTCCATTGCATTAGATGAGTTCTTGTATTTTTGAACAGCTACACTCCGAAGTCGTTTGTGTCTACGCTTCATGCGCTGCAACTTCGCCCTATCCAGATTGGCCTGCCTTTTGTCATCTTCAATTTGGCCTTCAACAAATTCCAACGTGCCCTTGCCCTTTGGATTTCATCACCAAGTTGAAGATGCCTCTCCTTCCAGAAAGCAAGAACTCTTTCAGACTCAAAACTGCCAACAAAATGGTCATTCTGTCTAGGAAAGTGACATTGCTTGTCTGGTGACTCACTTGCGTTTCGAAGGCGGTCTTTGTTTGGAGGGGTGTTTATTATGCTCACATCAAACTTGGTTAGTAAATCCATTCAATGGGGGGAGAGAGTTCTGTGGAGGAGAGAGTTTCAGTAGATGGAGACAGATTCGGTGGATGAGAGAGTGGAGACAGATTCGGTGTTTTTTGTGGAGGGAGAATTTTTATGAAGTAATACCAATAAAAAAGGGTTCCCGCCAAAGAAAACATTTGGTTGACAATGTATAAATGAAAAAGGTCTCATACAATCAAAGTTTAATCCTAACTAGTTTGTTTAGTTTGGTTGGGTTCACTAACTAGATGTCACTTCCATTGAGTTTCTTTCAACCACTAACAATGGTGTAAGGAGAGTGTGAGGTTGACATGCTTGAAAAGCAAAACCTGACACCTCTTTTTTTTAAATTGAAATAAAGTAGATATGTTGACTACACGCAAGCTTTGGTATGTTGGTCTATAAAGCTATGTTCCATTTCTCAAACGAAATTGCATCTGCAATCCTCATCCTCTAAAACAAATAGGATTATTCAAGCATGTCAACCTCTTCAGGCGCCAACAACACAATTGAAGATGAAAAATTGGAGTCGCAGGTTCCGTTTCCACGTTGTACTCGCCGACCCCTTCCATTTTCAACATCATTTGGGAGTGGGGGACTCCGATGATCCATTAGAGGCAATAGATGCAGTCAGTACCAAGCTGGATTATAATTCCAGACTGATCAATTCATGGCACGAGAAATGTGTTGAAGACGAGGCCATTTTGGCTGATCTAAACATTAGAGTGAACAAAGCGTTCTCCCAAAAGAACAAGTACTTGAAGCTGAGTCATAAAAGGAAGCTGAAAGCTGAGGAGTTGGATGCAGTAATGAATGATGAAATTAAAGGTTGTTTGATGAACCATATGCGATGCGAAGAGCACCACAGTGAACTGGAGTTGGCATTCAACGAAGGATTCGAAAAATTCCGAGCATTCGCGGCAACTACTCATACAAGTTATAATTGGGACTATGTGTCCCCTGATGCTGTGAGAGAGATACTAGACGATGGTGGTGACATGAATGAGCATAAGCACGTCAAAGCTGCTTGGAAGAAGCCGACCGATACGACTAAGTGATTGCGGCTACAGCTGTTCTGTTGGTTGGGGGTGATCGTGGTATTGCACAAATTAGAACTATATTCCCTTAATGTCATTATCTAATATAAAATAATACAAATATCAGTTTCATTTGCTTCATATATAATTATTGGGACTATGTCTTGCAAGTCATCATGTGTTCCTTCTGTCTAACATTATATTTTGCAAATATGGAAATATTATTCAATAAGCAGTCAATATCACAGCACGTTGGGAATCAGTAAAGCCCCATTATCATGACACGTGAGTCATAAGTAAAATACCATGTGCTATACATTGTGTAGTGAATGGTTTATGGTTTATGTATATATAATAAATTCCAAATATTGACCATAAGCACGTGAGACCTGCTAAGAAGAAGCTGACCAATACAACCTAGTGATTGTGGCTACCGTTGTTCAGTTGATTGGGGAGATTGTGGTATTGCTAAGAGGGAGCACATAAAATGCTTTGCAATCAAATTTTCTTTTGTGTGTGGAATTATGAGTAGTTCAAATGTTAGTGTACCCTTTAATATTACCCAACCATTCAAAATGTGATTAGCTGCAATGTACTTTTTTACACGTTGCTTTCTAATCTTTCTGTTCCAACAAAGTGCTTCAAGTATCTTTCAGTTACGAATGTTTGCAAAATCGTGCACCTAATAACCAGTCCAGCTCAGATCTTAATCACCACTTAAACACTAGAACATAACATTCGCAAAAAGTGGGTGCTGCTACAAATGATGCGTGCTGCTGGAAATCATTACTGGTAATGGAAACAACAGCTGGCTGCTGGAAATGCTGCATTAGCCTGTCATATAATCAATGAATCTCTGTTAAAACATAATTCACCATAAACTACCCATTTTACAAGGTAAAAGTCATTGCTTCTTCACATAAATCAAAATTTGATGCTTTATCTAATGTCTATGAAAATTTCTAAATAGGGAGAAGACGTAAAATTAACATGTGTCCAAATTTCATGCAAGAATGAAACCAAGCAAATTTTCATTTCAATTATCAATGGACATAGTAAGAGCTCATCGGTGGACATGAACAAAAAAATAATAATAATAAAACTGCATCTAGAAAACTTCACCTGATCATTAGTCTTCATAATAACCGGGCTTCGTATAATAGAAACCTAAATCATTGAGTTGGTCCGTGCATCCTGTAAAATTCGTCGAATAATGGGTCACTAAGATCTATTGGAGTTGATTCGTCATTGTTCGATGGTGATGTCCTGCATAAACATCAAACAGAAGCACATAAGAACTTTACCTATTCAAATTTTAGGTCTTATTATAAATAGTGTTAACATCTTACGGTGTGTTCAAATTTCTTGGGCATTGTCTTCTATCATGACCAATGTGTCCACACTCCCGACAGTGTCTAATCCCTCGCTTCATTGCCTTTTCCTTTGCTCCCGTTACTCGTTTGACCCTCCATTGCACCTTACTCTCTTAGGGTCTTTCATATATTGTGTTTGAGAGCTGGACCCTCCAACTTCGTTATTACTTGGTCCATCCTTCAACAACTTCAACTTCACCTGCAAACTTTTTAGAGTCTCTGACAGTAGCTCACATCCTTCTTCACACATTAATGCATCCTCAACCACATCTGAAGCAAGTCGGGACATTGTACTCCGCTTTATTAAAAGACCAGGATCTGCAGAGTCTTTAATTTCGTTGCCATTTGCATCTGACACCAATCCAAATTTCGCAGTTTTCTTCCACCTCTTCAAAATGTTTTTATCGGGCATATATTCAATCTGGTCCCTTCTGAACAATGCTAGGATGTGCTTGCAAATAATTCCAACAAATTCAAATCTTTTGCAACTACACGATGCGTGGTCAGAATCTTTGACATATACGACTTCTGCCACTCTTGTTTCCCCAATTTTTCCTTTCGCTCACATTAAAGACAACTTTAGAAGCATCCTCTGTTTTCAGCTCTAGGAAACATGCTGTACTTTGTATTAGTTCTTGCTCAAACTTTTGAAACATTGTCCTTGTGTACAAGGTAGCCATTTGTTTGTTCATTGGCATCGGTAGAATACATTGAGCCACTTCAAATGCATCTACGTGATCAGCAACTAACTCTTTTTGACGTTGATGAGAAAGTGCCCTCTCAAATCTTATTATGAAATCCATCAACGAATTTCTCCTTGATATGTATTGCTTGAAGAAACCATGAGAACATTCTGCTCTTTGGCTGCTTGACATTCCAGCGGCAAAAAAGTGTCGTGCGTAGGCTGGAACCCAAGATTCCCTTAAATCAAACATTGAACTTAGCCATGGATGGTCAGTCAAACCAGCCTTTGTAACCACAATATTCCATTTTGCATCAAACTCATCCTTATTGTCAGTATCCCATATGGCTTTCTGGAATTCACCCCAATACTCCTTATAAGCAGAATGTGGTAACTTAACAGAGAACTTTGATGTGATGTGCCATATGCAAAGTCGATGAAATGTAGTCGGGAAGGCTATTGAAATCGCTCTGCTCATTGCCGCATCTTGATCTGTGATGATCGTTTTAGGTTCGCCACCTGGCATGGCTTTCTTAAACTCCTCAAACATCCAAATAAACGACTCAGTCGTTTCCTTGCTCAAAAATGCGCATGCTAGGACAATTGTTTGACCATGGTTATTAACTCCCAACATTGGTGCAAATGTCAAGTCGTATCTATTCGTGTTGAATGTGGTATCGAATACAACAACATCTCCATAAAACCCGTACGCCCGTCTAGAAGTTGCATCTGCCCAAAAACATCGACTAAACCTGTTATCGCCATCTCCCTCAATCTTGAAATAAAAAGCCTCATTTTTTTTCTGTTCAGCCATAAAATACTCGGTCACTAGTTCAACATCGTGGTTCCTCAGCTTCCCATTCACACTACATTCAAGATTGTACATATCTTTTTTGATAAAACCGATTTTATCCATTCCTCCGGATTGCACCTCGAAAATACTTACCTTCTGATTAATGGGAATATTAACCGAACCCAACTGTTTTGTAAGTACTTTTGTAGAATCTGAAATACGACGGTGTGATCTCAGTAAATGCATTCTTCCTGAGGGTGTCATCTTATGATTGTGTCCCTCTGCAAAAAGAGAGATGGTATACTTCTTGCTCCCATGTGTCTTCACAACCACAATCTTAGCTTTGCAATTGCATCTACTTATTCCCCGCTGTCTTTTTCTCTCCCGAGTTTCATCATTCCGGTATGCACCTTGTTTGCAACATACAAATTCTTTTCTCAGAATCTCTTTCTTATTTTCCCCCCAAAAACTGGAATAAAGTCGAATACCAAAGCCAGCCAAGAATGCATATCTATTATAGAAATTATAAACGAGGTCAAGCGAGTCGAACTTCATCCCAACTGCTGGTGTTTCCTCATTTCTTACTTCAGGAGGGTTAGCCTGTTACAGAGTCATCACTCTCTGAGCCCCAAGACATTTTATCCACGTATATTATTGATCTACTTCTATATTACTGCATAGCAAATGTTAATTCATTAATCAATCATTACTGCATCACAACTTATCAATGCATTCCACTTACACAAAACATTGCCCAAATTGACACAATACACGCATAGCCTAGCTTGTTGGATTCTTATTACACAAAACACAAGCAAAATTTAATAATAGTTACGTCATCTCTTGTGAAATAATCTGGAAAAAATAACATTAGAACCAACATGTTCAACTAAGAACTCAAATGTAATTCAAACCAGCAATTACAGAACTTCACCCAATATCCTCTCCAAATGCTTACTTCTAATGCCATTAAGCCTAAGTTTAGGATCTTTTACCTACATTTCATAATTTTCCAACCCCCCTCCAAACAAAAATAATCAACTAAGTATATTGAATATTCATAAGGAAATGACACATTATTGATAGCAGAGCAAATGACGCATTATTAATAGCAGAGCAAATGACGCATTATTGATAGCGGAGCAAATGACGCATTATTGATGCCACAAATGACAAATTTCTCACCCTCACAAAAAACAAATCAAACCCAGCAAAATCAATCCAGCAAGAGTGAACTTACCTCTCAAAGTCAAATGACGCATTATTGATGCCACAAATGACAAATTTCTCACCCTCACAAAAAACAAATCAAACCCAACAAAATCAATCCAGCAATAGTGAACTTACCTCTCAAAGTCAATCGGGAGCTCCGAAGTCAGTCACTTCAAAGAATGTGGTGGACATTAGAGAGGATTCTTTCGTAGTGGAGACTCCATCTCTACCAAAATCCAGGAACAACTGCAGCAGCACGAAAAAGAGATATGCTACTTTGCTTTCATCTGGAATCTCTTCTGCTAAACGAAAAAAAGAAGGGGTTTTCACTTCAATCATAGAATCAAAACAGGGCAATAGCTAGGTAAAAGCCATTAATCGTCATACCGAGGATACCATAGATCGCAGGCCTCCCAAGGAGCTGATGACAATGGAGCGATTATAGAGTTTGGGAGCTTTGGATCTTTCTAATTGTGGATTTGCATTACATTAAAAAAGAGAGGATTGTGTTCTTGAGTTTTTCACAGAGAGGGAAAAATCTTCAGCTGAAGTTGGGTTTCCAAACGGGTCAGATTTCAACCCGGTTCTACATGCACCCTCTTTTAAAAACTCACCATTGGATGAAATCCAACGGTTCTTACATACCCCTCAAAAAACCCCTTATAACTTTCCACTCACTATAGAAGCACTCCAAAATTGGCACCAAATTAGAAACAACCCAAAAACGGCCCTTGTGGAGCGAGAAGTGGGCCCATTTAATATCTTTTTAGCAAAACTGGAACTGGCATACATTTTGGGGAAATTTGTAAACTTACAGCCGAGAGAGAGAGAGACCATGAACTTTCGATTATTAATTGAATATTCTGTACACATTACACTAAGCAAAGCTATAACCCAGCATCCTTTCCATCTACAGAAATTTAATTTACTTTGAACAACACATTTATCACCCTAAATTTTGACATTCAAAATGGCAATGACTGACCCAGCATCTGCCTGCTAACATAAACATCACCCTCGCCACAAACCAAGAGCACCCAACAAGGAAAATTGCCGCAGATGGACCTATTAGGCATATACCAAAAGACCCCTTCGCTTGTGTATCTTTATCTGCCATACATTCAAATACTTCGAATCGTGTCCACTCGATCAATGACATCTAAAGCTTTGATCCGGTCGATATCAAAGTCAATGACCGGAACGGACGATGGCCTCCTTATGGGAAATGGATCCTTCCTACGTTCACTTGTTGGGGAGTGATTACTACTCTTACTCAGCCTATTATACTTGCTGAATCTGTTCTTTGCAGTGTCAAATTCCTGACTCTTACTAATGCCAGGCGTGAGTTTTCTCTTACTTACGTATCGAAGCATTTCTTGGTCCTCAACTGTTAATATGGGGGATGAACAGTTGGGTTTGTTTGTCGATAACTGAATTGCCTTCTGGTTTGGGGAGCAAAGAGGGGATTTAACAGGAGATCTAATTCCACCGTTTCCAACCCTCACTTGGCTGACCAGATGATGAAGCCACACCACCAGTTCGAGAATGTAAAACTCAGTTTTACTTTTATCAGCATGGTGTAGTGTCTCAATCCTCAGCAAGTCGGTCTGACCAGCAGGTTTTCGGTTCATCTCAGACCTAAAGAATTACAACAAATAAAATTAGGAAAATATTCAGGAGCAATACGCAAATGAAACGGCACCTGCGGTTCAGAACTCACCCAGTGTTTGCCCATTCTCCAACCCAACCAAAGCCATGATGAGCCCTAAATAAATCACAATGCCAAAAGAAGCAATCAGTAAATAGGATTGTAGGAAAATCAACAGAGGTTACAAAAGAAAAACTAGTAGTATTCTTCCTCTTCATTAATTCAACCAGAGATTCGCAAAACTATAAAAAGAACCAGAAAAATAAAAAAGCTTTATCTAAAGGCTTGATGCTTTACTTGGTTGTGTTAGTGGCAATGGGAACTAGCCACTGCAATGTTTTCTCCATTTCAGCTTTGATTTCAGGGACAGTATGCTGCGAGAACAGTTATGAATCAGTACAAAGATGGGCAAACAAATAATAACTTAGTGTCAAGTGGAAAAATAAAAGTTTTGGGAAGTTGTTAATAATCCATGGAGTAAATAAACTATAGATACCTCTTCCTTAACCTGAAATGACTGTAGCTTTGAGCGCAAAGCTGACTTTACACCAGGTGGCAGCCCCTGATATAAATTATCCCGTGTGTTTGGAGGCACAGAACTTGATCGAGACACCTGGATTCAGATGTTAACCCAGAAGCCATGACCCACATGAGATGATATAAAGCACAAAATTCCCATTTCTCAAACAACAGAACCATAAAATTCGAATTGAAGAGAAGAATGATCATTGTGCTTTAACAAAAGAGGAAACTCCCAGTTATTTCCAGATAACTACTATAACCAGCTATTTGCATGTTTATACAGACAATAAAAGAAAAACCCAAATGGAAGAAAGAAAAACTAGTATACAGATCCCGAATGCCTGTCATAACTGCTCCTCACACCCAGTAGATGCTATTTTCTATCCAGATATTCATATTTGGCCTGTTAGTTTTATCTTGCATACTACTTTTCACGAGTTACAATACCTAAGCATCAAGTTTTTCTTATTGGGTAATATTAGTTTTATCTTGCATTCTATTATTGCCCAAAAGACAAGCATGCCCAAATTAAGTGAATTGTGAGCAGGACATAAGTCAAATTCAGGCAAACCACAATAAGCTAAGCTACGTATAGTTGAAGGATGCCCTATTATTACTAAACAAGAAGCAATGCCCAAATTATGTAAATTGTGAGCAGGACATAAGTCAAACTCAGGCAGGCCACAACAGGCTAAGATATGTTAGTTGGGCTTGCCAATTGACAATATCTAACTTCATGAATTTTAATATACTCAAGCGCATTGTCAGATGATCCTATCTTCCATGGAATCCAACAGACAAAATCCAATATCTTTTACCACCACTCTTGAATAACATGAACCTTCCGCATCATAGACACAGCTCACATTTATTACCACACACAGGCCGTAATGAAGCCAAAGTACAGGAGGGTAATACTTTCATGCTTTACTTAATCAAGAAAAGGCTATGATTTGTGGACAATGACACAAGTATCGTATCAGACACATCAACTTACAATAATATAGACACAACACTATACAGTGATCTCATTTTTTATAGGAAATTTTGATAGAACAGTATATTTTAAAAGAATGAGCAAAATTACAAGCATTCATATTCTTCTTGACAAAAGATGCAGAATCCCATAATTCTATGTTTTTTGTCTACGTAAATAAAGGTTTCTCTTTCAAACATCTTTCCATTCATGCAGGCGTAAGATGGCATCTTTCCATCCATGCAAAGGTGTGTCCAACAAGAGTAGACACAAAGCATCTTTTCAAGCGTCCCATGTTAGAAAAATAGAATCACAGATTCACAGTGCCACTATTTCATTACCCTATAACAAAGTGAGCTGTTAATAACTTATAACTACAAGAGGATCTAAAGTTTTTTTTTACCTTTACTTTTTTTATAAGAAAAAAGGATCTTGAGATTTGATAGGCAGATTACTTGCTGGGTCAACGTAGCAGTGATTTCCCAGCACCAACTTGTTCAAGTTTGAAATAGATTCTTCTTCGGATTTTAACAATTAACTGAGGACTCTGAATAGGTTCACAAATGACATTGCTCAAAGTATATAGGTCGTTTATTAGGAAGGAAACTGAACTTATGCACACATTCGATGGTTATTAGGAGGGGAAGCAACCGCCTAAAGCAAACAATCCCACAAGGCATAGCACTACTCATTAAAAACTTTAAAGGAAAAGCAGGAACGGAGGCACAGACAGATCTTCAGACTTAAGAATAAGCGGTTGCTTAGTCCCACAAGAACATGTTCTCGAAAATTGGACTTGGATACAACCCATTCTCACGCTCAAAGTTGGTTGCTCCACTCAAAGCAGACTCGTGAAACATAAAAAAAATATATATATTCAATTCAAGTCTAAAAAGGTATTGAAACAGAACCCTAGTGGAAAGTTGTATTTGCACCTTTTTCCACAATAGCAGAGTATAACCAGAATAAGTTGTAAAGTCATGATATCACATACTAATGCATTTACAGCAAATGATAAGGAAACGAAAAAATATTTTCACAAAGGTGAAATGCATTTAAGCAATGAAATAACATAAACTCACAAGAGTATCGATTTGAGAGATAATATTTGCATAATGCAATGCAAGACCAGCAGACCCCAACTTTTTGTGATTGTTCTGAACACCTTTCACAGGTTTATCAGTATCTGTGAGACCAGACAAAGAGAAAAATCCCATAAAATTCAGTAAATAATTAAACATGATGAATAGCTTCGACATAATTGTTAAGCAAAATTAATATTACAAGAGAGGCATGATATTATATGCGGCAGCTTAACCAATATAGGCAATAGATATTAGCATTTCTTTTATATGGAGAATCTCAACAAGTTAACAGCACCAGAGAATAAATCTGTTTCCCGTGTCTATGTACCGTCTAAACATTATTATTATTTTTTATTTACTTAACAAGGTCAAAGTTCTACCACAGTTATATGTAATTTGGTGTAACTTTAATCAAGGACAAGAAGTGCCCATAACATCTTTCTCAGCTTCCTGTCCTACCCAAGGAGGACTAGAAGGCCTCTCTTAGAAGACCATTATCAGAAATTTCATCCTATATTTTCAGCGTACCTGCATTACCAAATGCTTCAGAATTTCCAAATGTAAGAAATGCACAACGTCGACAAGTTTCTCCATGACCTGCAAATATGAGATATTAGGTTGGTTGTAGAACAACTTAAAGCAGAATTCCATATGCATAGGAGCTGTTTTGTAATCTGCTGGCTTCTCTATGATTTTGTTGTATCCGTTTTTCTAGGATGGCATTGGGGGTTGCAGTTTTTGTGTTTTTCGATGTGGACTCCGTGTTCACTATTCTTGTACTTATGTTTTTGTTTCTTAAAAACAGAAGTTCTTGTTTCCTATAAAATAAATAAATAAAAATAAAAAAGTATTATTTGCACACTGCACCCAGATTATTTGTTCAAAAACCCTACCCTAATATTAAAAAACATAAAACTTTAAAAACAAAAAAAAAAAAAAAAAAAAAAAAAAAAGAGTTCAAAAACATGAAGTATCCCATCACTGGCCTTGTTTTCTAATTTTACATAATAAATAAACTTTTTCTAAGTGGTTTATTAGGTTTAAGCGTGTATAACAATCCATCTTAGTAACTTTAAAGAGGAGTATTTTTGCTATCTAAGTTTTCATTGAAAGGTGGGTGTATTGAGAAGTTTCTAGCTGCAAATGGAAGCTATTATTTTTATTACGTGACTCATAAAATATATTGCATCCAGTTTTTAAGTGCTATATTCGATTCAATTAAGAAGAAAACTTAATTTGTTCTGCACCTAGATGAGATACAACAAGTAGAAATACTGACTTGCTACCTCTTCCAAAATCCTGGACCAGAGTGATTTTTCTTCAAACTTCTCACATGCTTCTTTTGACTCTTCAACTCTGCTCTTAAGATTGCAAGGCTGTCTCCTATGTGTGAAATTGGCACAATAAACCAAGTTATAATTGTAACCATTTCGATGGGAAACAAAAAATAGAAGTGAAAGAAATCAAAATTTGAAAACTATGCAAGGATTTGTGGAAAACACTGTTACATGAGGCTAACCACTGGAATTAAGGAGGAAATAGTAATAATTAATTAATTAATTACATACTGAACAAATTTCAGAACTAGTATTAATGTTGCATCATTATTCGACATGGCCACAGCCAAAACTGACCATGGAAAAGTCTACAGTCCTACAAACATACACATTCAAACATATGCAAAGTAAAAACTCAGCACCGTGACCTCATACATTATGGGTGGAATTTAATCTTTAATAAACCCAGTCATCATCAGAAAAAACAAGTGATATATCCAACATAGAATAACTCTCTTAACCTACCAGACCAAAATATGCAGATAAAAGTTTCGTATGACATTGTAAAGGAAATACAAGATGCAAGCTACCTCTTTGAGTGGTATTTGAGTTGTCTTCCTCTTGAAGCTTACGCCGATAATCTTGTTCAAATCTGTCCAAGGCATGTAACTCATGATATAATTCCTGTAACCATGAAAAAGGTTTGTCTTTCCTTCAGTAAAGTTCCAAGGAATAGCATCTATCCACCAGTAATTGGCAGTAAGAACATGTTTTGGCACCACCCAGGCTTGTCTAACTATTAATCAAGAAAGAAGCAACAAACACACATACAGCAGTCAAAATCATCTACTGCTACACTCAAAACTAGAGTACCCTCCAAAGAGTAATATGCAATAAGCGGGGTGCTCCTCTCCACCATATCCAGCACCCCCTCCCCCTCGATGGAATTAGACAGCTAAGAACTCCAATGGTGGGTAAGTAAAGTTAACAGAATTTATTCAACATGCGACCCTTCAGCTGATAGGATGCAGTTAGTGAATGCAGAATGTCTACTAAAAGGTCACATAATGCTTCTGCGACACTCAATAGAGCTAATCCTCTGCATGGAGAAGAACTAAATTTAATCATGTAGCTTGAAAGCCCTCCAACCGAATGAGGACTATGATGAGGCTCAACAACGTTTTGAGTTCGAGTCATTAATTGTAATAGAAAGTTTCATACCAATACTTCAGGCAGATTTACCAAATCTTTTTATTTACCATGCCAGCAACCAAAATCAATTTGACTCAGATTAGCAATTGACAAATACAAAAGGAAATTTTTCAATTTTTATTATCAGATTCGTCAAACATGCACTACAGAAATTTCACATAAACAAATAAACAAAGAGAAACAGCCTCTGCATCTACGAATTACCATAAAGCATTTGATTCAGCTTCATCCCCTCATCATTGTATTCAAGAAATCAGATTTGGCAAGAAATAGCATAACATGAGTTATATCGGAACCTCATGAAAAACAAATTAAATAAAGTAAATTGATCTAATGACATTGTTATGTCAATCAATGCTTCCCCAGCGGAAAGGAGAGACAACAAAGAGCATATACTTATATTCTCTTTAACATGGTGCATGCTATTACATGAACTGCTAAGGTAAGTCAGGAATGCACACAACTCCAACTGAGAGGCTGCAATCTCTTTACGTGTATTAACTTACAGCTGTATTTTGAACTAAGGTCATCAATTGCTGCATCACTGTCTCTGCATCATCCTTCAATTGCCTCTGGGGTGTAATTTCTGAACCCAACCTAAAGTTCGGGAAAAGATAGCATGGGTGGCAGTATGAGAACCTTATCTATGGAGTTAAACAGAACGCACATAAGGAAAATAAACAAGATTTGGTTAAGGTACTTCTCAAAATAGCGATCCAAATTGTGCCATTGAGGATCTTTACAACGATTTCCAAAACGCACTACTTCTCCAGAGAAAACTTTCAGTTCTTCTCTGCAAGAATCGTACCACAAAATTATTAATTCTTCAATGTTCACATATAATTATTCAAGAAATGACATCACATCAAAATTAATAACAACAATATTTACAGCTCATTCTGATTATCCAGAAAATTATAGATGGTAATATTCAATTACCAACCTCTTGTCTGCTGCAGCAATTCTCAGGAGTTCATCCATATCTCTCGATACTAAATTTTGTACCCCTTCTGATGGAAGCACAACCTCTTTCAAATGTTTGATATTATCCTTTGAAAGGGATTGCATTAAATTTGAACCCTTGACAACTGTGTTCGCAACTTCAAAAGCCAAAATCGAAATTTTATTCCCTTTTGTTGTCACCCCTGAGGTAAAACCACTGCTTGGGTTCAAATTTGTCATACTACTACCAAGGGTGTCCAATACTTCCACTGCTTTCCCAAGGCCAGCAGTACCAGCCCTACCCAAAAGCGAGCTCACTTCTGATACCTATAAACCAAAGGAAAAAAAAAACAGTTAACAATATTTAACTACAAAGGAATATTATTTACTTCAGTATTGCTTCAATATCTATTTTAAAAACCAACTATCATGTCCTACTGAAATAAAAGACAAAGTACAAGATAAACGGTAAAATTACCATTAGAATATAAGCAATCATGATAAAATGGTAAGTTTTGTCCAATTACATGCACAATGTAAAATCACCAGTGTGTTTTAAAACTCTCATATGCATTGATATAAAACATATGGCTGAAATCAAAGCAAAATTGGGTCATGTTTTTTGTATATGAGCTGGGTCCATAAGAGAACTTGTGAAATTACCAGCCCATAAGTGAAACAGTGTTTCACTAACCCTCTTCTTCTCTATTCTTCCTCTCATCTCTCTCTGCCTCCATCATCACTCATTCTCTCTCTTGACAACGTCATCGCACTCGATCTTGTGGGTGTCGTTGCACCCTCATCAATCTCATTGACGTTGTCTGGTCGCTCTCTCATCCCTCTTATCAGATATGGTTCTGCCTTAGATCTCACAGGTGTTGCTTCGTTGTTGCCTCACCTAGGCTGCGCCTTGCTATGCCTTTTGGGTGAAATGCTCTGTGTTTAAAGCCTGAAGGCATGTGGAAGCTACCTGACAGAAAGGTGTGCCTCAAGGCTCACCTCATCCGCGCCTTCTAAAACACTGAATTTTTGTAATTTTCAACTAATACTTTGATGAGTTGATCCAGACACTATAGTTCTTTATCACTTCCATGGTTTTCCTCATTACTTTCTTTCTTTTTTTCCCAGTAGAAACTAGATTTTAATAAAATTGATAAATCATCCAAGCAGACAAATAACATATCCCTTCCCTTACAGTCCAACAGCTCTCCAATCACAAAAAACTAAAAACTAAAACAAGCAAACAAAAAATAAAATTGGGATTTCCTTAGATTATGAAGAGACAAAAACTCACAAGGATGATCAAACTCCATCCCTTCCCCTATAACTGACAAAAATCCTTCTACTTCTCTCCATTCACACTACCCAAAAAGGCATCCTTCACTCAACACCTCCATAAAACTTCAGGCTTTAACCCTTTCCCAAAAGCCTATATGCTTCTTTAATCATGCAGTACAAGATGCTAGAATAACCCAGCTCAAATCAGCTTCCTTAAATAACCTCCTTTCCCTACTATCTAATAACATGTTCGACCCATTTATTCAACAAAAGGCAACACTCTGGAATAAGCCCAGATAAGGCCTGATTTTGAATGGGATTTTTACTTTATGAATCAACTTCTAGAAAATTGTGTTCAAGGGGATGTTATTAAGCACACAAATCTCTACTCTCCATGGAAAAGTATCTAGAGCAACCACCAAGTATAGGATCTTCAATTGGAATGACACTTTATAACTGGAAAGCAAGCCCAAAAATAGGGCCTTCAATTGAAACAACATTTTCATCTTTTATGTTACATGGGAATGATGGGAAGAGCAAGATAGAAACAAGTCGTGAAAAAGCAAAATCAGATTAAATGGAAGTTTAATGCATTGTTCTTTTGGATCCTTATAGACGAGGCCGAATGACTTCCTATATTCTTTTGGTAAGAATTTCTTTCTAAATGAACTTGAGGAAAATATAAACCATCTTTTTGGTGTCTTTAGTATGAGATTCATCATGCTCGTCTTAAAAATGAAACAGGAAAAGGCTAAACTCATTTCCCACTGTTTCTCACCTCTATGGTCAGAAGAATGTTGGAAGGTTTTCCCTCCTGCTTAACACCACTTCACTAAGTATCCAAATACAGAAAGAATTTTCATGTTGAAAGTATTTCACTTCCATGATCTCCATGTCTACTGAACTACCTCAATCCAAAAGAACAAGGGGCAATAGATGGGCAAACTTTTATCTGTATATCCCAAGTCAAAGGGTCCCAACGATATAAGCCACAACCAATATGAGACCTTCTAGTCCGTGTTTCAAAATAGTACATTCTAAGTAAGGCCTATTAAAAGTCAACATAAAATGTAAGGACTCATCAACTGGTATCCTTGCAACACCTTACCATCCTCACTCTGATTATTACACTCTTTAGAGTAGAAGCTCCATAACAACTCAATATGGAAGGGTTTGTGATTCCAAGTGCTAAAGAAAACAAAATGTGCATCCAATAACCATTCATACCACACAATTTCAAATTATTCATTCGACCACAACAGAGGCAAGAAAAAAAAACTAGCATATCAAAGTCGGATTACCTTTGCAACAGCCTGCTTAGATTTGGTAGATCTATTTTTCTGCGACAAGGCCCTCGACAAGTGCGGAATCCCATCATTGACATCATCTGTAATCAGCCCATAAGGAACCATACTATTTGTCTCTGGCAACATAAACGGGTCTCGCAATTTCTTATCCATGCCATCACTAACCGGAGACGGTGTTGAATTCGCATTCACTTTTGGAGGCAGACCACGAGACCCATTATTTGAATGGCCATTAGCAGGAGGAATGCTTCCACTGGGAGCATTATTTACAGTGACATCGTCTACAGTGGATCTCCTCGACTTGGAGCACATCCCACCCATTGTGTTGATAAGCCACAAAGTATATTTCATACAAAAACCAGGACAAGAACTTCAAGCCTTTTCAAGAGTAAGAACCAAAACAACTCCGACTATTGCTATCTATAAGAAGCTCAAATTGTAGTAACTAGTGACCAAATCGGAAGCATACTTAACGAGTTCTGAAATCAGAATTATCTAATCCAAAGCTGTGGAATCAGTATTATGGACATTCATGTTTAACATAGATTACCATAGACCCAATTCTGATCACTGTTGGAGTTCCAGTCCAGCAACCATGGGTGACGAAGCTGCCAATCAAGAAAAAAGCCGAAACCCATTAATCAAAAATATTCATAAACATCATAAAACAACAATGAGAGGGAAATCTGCAAACAAAAACAAACCCACATCCAAAAATTAGATAAAATGCATAATTTGAGGTTTTACAAATAGTTACAAAGCAAACCCAGCAAGAGTAGTTAGAAATTTTACCAGTTAGGGACAGAGATTCTGGGCTTACAGCTGGATCTATGAGAAGATGGAAGAGATTCTGGATTGCACTACTCTCCAATAGGTTCAGGAAAACCAGATGATTATGACAGTGATGGTGATAGGAAAGGAGAGATGAGTTTTTTTTTTTTTTGTTTTTTTTTTTTTTTTTTTTTTTATAGAGTTGCAGAGCAAGAGCTACAGTACAGAAAAGAGGCTGGGCAGAGCAGAAGAAGAAGAATTGCAAAAAGGAAAAAAATATATATATACCCAGCAAAGAGCAACAGTGAGTGAGTGTAGGTTTTTCACTCTCAGTTTCAACCTCTCAGCCTCAGTCTCTCTCTCTCGCTTTCTCTCTCTAGGTCTGGTAAGTGGTGGCTCTGGCACAAAACAGTCTATTTCTCTGTGTGAGAGAATAGAAAGGGGAGGTGGTCAAAACCCAAAGTCACCAACCGGCCACTGCTGATTAAACATTACACCAGTTTATAAGGAAAACCTATGTCTTTCTACTGTTGGATGATGAAAAGATGTTTTTGATAAAATCATGAAAATTTTGCACCCAAAACAAATGAAAATTTTTCCATTAATATTTCACCCCAAGATATGTAACCATTAGTAAAAAGAAAAAAATTTCAACTTGTTTTTCTACTTGACTTTTTTTTAATATAAGTTTTTCTCCTGGACTTTAACAATGATTTTAAATACCCAAAAACAATTCACTTATAGTTTATCACTATGCACTTGGAGACGACTTTGAGTACAACACCTTCTTTCCAATTAGATTCACCCTCGACTCGACCATGGTTATATTCAAAGTCTAAAATATCGAGAGTTTTGAAAATATCGAATACAAATATATCAATAGAAATATCGATGCAATATCGATATTGATACAAATTTAATAAAAATTATGAAAATTGTTAGAAAAACTTGAAAATTTTTATTGAAACTTTAGAGGATGTTTACTTAGTCAATTGTCTATTATTTTATCACACAAAATTAGAAGAAAATGCATGGCATGGTGGGTTTGAGTGATTTAAGTTGATTATGTAGCGACTTGACAAACACTGTGACTTTAGAAAATATGTAATAATTAGTGAAAGAAAATTAAACACACCATAATTTTTTAGTTATAATAATTTACTACAATATATTACACTTGATACATATGATAAAATATATGAGCTTGACCAAAAAACAAAGATAAAATATATGAGTAACTTAGTAACTTAGTACCAAATAGTATCACATATAATGAACAATATTAAAACTCAATAGTGAATAATAATACAACTCCATAATATATAACCAAAAAAAAAACAACTTCATAATAAAATAATAAATAACATTAAACATATGCCTAAATTTATCCTTAGGGGATTTTTTTTTTAATGTGGAAATTTATCCTATATAATATTAGCTTGTAGAAATTTTAAAGACCTTATAAATATTACACGTCATAGCTATATTCACAAACTCATCCGCAGTGGTTTGGATAAGGCACAGTATGTGATTGGGAAAAGAAGGGTTCGAAACCCCCTGCGTGTAAGTAGGGGTGGGCATGGTCCAGTTTAGTCCGATTCTCACCTCAAATCGAATCGGTTTGGTCTGATTCTCACCTCAAGTATGGGTGGTTTGGTTCTAGTGAAATTTTTTTTTTGAACCGGTCAGTTCGGTTCTCATCAATTTCTGTCCAATTTCCCCATTTTTCAGTTTTGAACCATATTTTGTTTAATACAAATTCTAACAAAAATTTTATTTTTTGGGCTTGGAAATTAACAAATGATCCAATTTCATTCAAAAAGAGATGTTTTGAAGTTGGAGTTGGAAAAATATTAGTTATAAGATTAAAAATGTACAATTAGATTTAAATAATTTTGTTAAAAAAAAATATACACAACACGTCCGGTTTGGTGTGGTGTGAAATTGGAATCGGAATCGGTCAAGTCCGGTTTGGTACCGGTTTGTTGACTTTTTTAGTCAATTAGTTTTTTTCCCCCTTTTTTCATCTAGTTCGGTTCGGTATTCGGGTTTTTCAATCAAGATGCCCACCCCTATTTGCAAGTGCAAGAGCGAATTTCTCAACATTTTTCATTTATTTTTCGGTTTCATATCAATAATATCACGATATTTGCCCAAATAATGCATGAGCGTGTAGGAAATTATCGCCTCCGACATTATCGCGATAATATCGACAAAAATGTCGATATATTGACAATAATTAAGTGGATTTGTGCTAAAATATCACCCATTAAAAAAAAAGAGATATTTCAGACTCTGGTTATATCTGCTCAATTGGTTTTCTAAAATTTCTTTTGTTTTTTTTTAATTTTATTAACTTTTTACTACAACTTTATGTTTTGTTTCATATTTTAAAAATGAATTTTAATTATGAGTGGCCAATAAACTTTTCAAAAGTCCTTGTTTCAACTTTCAAATTAATCAATCTAATCCTTAATCTTTTAGTCCGCACATCAATTTGGTCTCTCGCATATACATGTTTGATCGTATCACTACTTCATCTCCTTTATTGTCTTGGTTTTTTAATTGTATGTCTATGTTTGCTCTGAGTTACTTCACTCAAGTCTATTCTTTTGGGTTGTCCATTTTGGCTAAGTAAATAGACACCTTATGTGTTTTAATAAGAATATCTTGAAGAACCTTACTCAAACCAACACTAATAATTAAAGATAGTTGTTAATGAAGATCTTTTGTTGGAACTATGGGGAAAGTTTTGTTAGGCCTCCTCGTGTGAAAGAATTTTTTCTTTAGATGTTTTGTGTATGCCAGATTTTTCTAGGCTCAAGCTAATCACAAAAAGAAAAGGAACCACACTCGTTAGGTATATAGCACACATTAAAGACTGGTTTAGACTCTAAATTGAGTATGCTATTAGAAGTATCGGTGCTATGAAAGCTCCTGGTCCAATCCAAACCAATTTATATCATAATTTTTGGTCTAATGTTAAGGAGCATGTTGTAGAAGAAGAATACTATTTGGTTTAATGACGCAGCAAGATATAAGGGAATAGAGAGATCGAACGATACCCTAAAGTAACAATGTATGAATCCACCAATAAACTAGAATCTGCTAGAAAATTGAGTAAAACTCAAAGGTATTTGATTGATAATAAGATAGATAAACTGACAATACAACGCCATGAGTTGACTTAAATAGAAAACAAAGAAACCCTAGGTTCTAGAATAATTCTAAATTTAGTTAACAAGAAAATAATAAAAAATCCTTGCTAAAATCATATTAGGAAAATAATATCCTAATGGATAATTTATTCTTAAAAATATTAAATTAAATACAAATCTTGACAAAATTATAATTACTTCAAACTTCCTCGGTCAATATGAAAATCCCAATTATACGCATTCCTTCTTTTCCTAGCGCCACAATTGACATTTAATTGGAATTTTCCTCTCTTGCATGATTTCCTTCCAACTTTGAGCAACTTTATTTTAATTAATTTTTCCCACTATAATTGACACATTTTTTATCCTACATTAAATATTGTTGTGCATTATTCATTTCACAAAGAAGAATATATATACACGTAGGATTACAATCCTAATCACATTATTAGATGAAGTAATTACGTGACTATATTATGAAACCCAATATTATAAGGAATTACATAAAATATAATATAAAAGTCAACAACCCCCCGCATAGATATCACTTATGCCCAAGTTTTCTAAGAACTTCGAAAAACATGACTCGATACAGCCCTTGTAAGTATATCAGCCAATTGGTCTCACATCCTGATTACAAGCACTTCAACAATTTTATCCTCCAACTTCTCCTTAATAAAGAACATGTCAATCTCAACATATTTTGTCCTATCATGTTGCATAGGATTATGAGCAATATCATGAGCATCTTGATTACCACCAAATAACTTCATCGGTTGATGAGGTGCAAAACCCAAATCTTGTAAAAACAGTTTAAGCCATAAAATCGCACAAATTCCAATTGCCATACCTCTATCAAAGAGAGAGTTGGAGAGATAAAAAATAATAATCTAAGAGGGACAGAAACTATATAGGTGCTAGAAAATTAAACAACTTGTTGGTACCTATGGATATAAAATAAGTAAGGGTAACAAAATGCTTAAAAGGAAACCTTAAATGTCCTTAGTCCAATCAAACTACAAGTACTCAATCATGTAGGTCAGTACATTAACAAATTACCCAATACCATACATAGTCAAATTACCTCATACTCAACAAGTGACACGTAAATTACATGCAACTATGCCCATCATGCCTATTCCACATTTGTCCAACCGTAAGGTCTTCCATCAAAGACTATCACGCTTAAGATAAATGTTATATATTCCTAATCAATTAGAAATTAATCAAACCAAGCTAGAATGAATTCTGCAGGACGTGTGGTTGGCACCAAAGAAATTCTAAATCATTTTCATACAGCCTACTCGGGCAAAACACACAAATAATGTATTTATTAATTTTTATTTATTCAACGACCGTCGTCCATAAGATGTCAATGACTATTTTGGTCCC